AGATAGGACTTTTTAGCTTGGCTTCAGTGGTGCACACCTTTAATCCCCAGCGCTCAGGAGGACAGGTTGATCTGTGAATTTGAGGTCAGCCTGGTCTACAGAGTGAGTTCCCAGACAGCCAAGAAACCTTGTATTGAAAAACCAAACAGTAACGAAAGAATTTGACTTTTGTTTAAAAGGAGGATTTTTCAAATATATGGAAAATTTGCTTTGTATAGTTATACTATTTTATTTGCTCTTTATATGATATTTAAAAATCATTTTAAAAGTAATGTAATTATTGATCTAATAGAAGTATTGGTTAAAATTTTTATTTTCCTTATTTTTCTGTCATGTAGAATATTTAATCTAGACATACTACCTAATATTTTACTCATTTATGTCTTAAGATTTATTGATGTATTGATTTTACTTATGAATATAAATTCCTAGAGGCATTGGAAACCCTGGAACTGTAGGTATAGGTGGTTAAGAACCATTTGATGTTGGTGTTGGGAACTAAGCGGGGTCCCTTAGAAGAGCAAGAAGTGCTCTTATACACTAAGCCCATTTCGCTCATTTTAATATTAAAATAATGTTGGCTTTCTTTCATATCATGCTGGTTAAGGGGTTTTACACATAAACAAACCCAAACCAGCTGGTTGTAAAGCAGCTTTTGTTTTGTTTTGTTTTTTAATGGTCATTTCATGGAGTAGTAGTGTACGCTTCAGGGATAGAACAGAGTAGTGTGTTGCATATTCTCACAGCCCTTCCCTTCAGTATATTCAGAATCCACTCCTGCTAGCATTATGTCTGTGACCGAGGAGATTTTAAAGTTCTTTTTTCCTTCTGCCTTACTCTGTTAGGCTTTTTCTTTGTCATTATTTTTTAGGATTCATGACATTTATATGCCTATATAAATATCTGCATGCATATTGAGATGCATTTGAGACAGGTCATTTAATGCAGAAGAATTAGCATTGTTTGCTGACTATGAAAAAGTATTAAAATACAGCGTTATGGATCATGACAGAATGGCGGGCCAGAAGAAAAGAGTATTGTTTTAGCAAGTCCATGAAGCTACATTCAGCAGTAGACGCATAGGTAGTGCTGTATTTGGAAGACTTAAACATGATTAATTATGTTACTAATGCTTTGCATTTTATTTTTACCAGGAATCATATGAAGATGGCCCTTATACTCTGACCTCCAGTAAGAATCCTGATAGTAACTTGCTTTCATTGGATGGACTAGATAACGAAGTCAAAGGTCTTGTTATACTTTCTCTCAGTTCTCTTTTGGCTGAAAGTATTTATTGTTATTAAAGCACTCTTGCTGGGTGGTGGTGTTTCACGCCTTTACTCTCAGTACTTGGGAGGCAGAGGCAGGCTGGTCTCTGTGAGACCAGGCCAACCTGGCCTACAAAGCTAAAAGGCTAGTTCCAAGAAAGCCATAGCTACACAGAAATTCTGTTTCAAAAAACAAAACAAAAGAAAATAAACAAACAAAAAGTTGTACCCTAGCCTTCACAGATAAAGGATGGGTAAACTTTCACCACCACCGCTTTGAGTGCTGGTCATTGAGTTTATTAGGGCTTTGCACATGCTCGTTAACTATATCCCTGACATATCCCCAGCCCCTTTTCTTTATAATTTTAAAAAATGTTTTATTTTAAATTATGTGTGTTATGAGTCTATGAGGTGCCAAAGGAGGTCATAAGCATGAGATCTTCGCAGAGCTTTACATACAGGTGGTTGTGAGGTGCCTTTATACAGGTGGTTGTGTGGTGCAGGGAACTGAATTCAGGTCATCTTCAAGGGCAATGCATGCCCCTAACTACTGAGCCATCTCCAACCCCACCCTTCCTTTCTTAAGACAATGTATTCACTAAGTTATCACACTGTGCTTTAAATTGGGATTGCCTCAGTTTCTTAAGTAGCTGGAATTTAAGGTATCTCTCTGGATAGCATAAACTGTCCTTGAATTTAAAATGTTCATTCTTTACCTCCCAGGTCCTGGGAGATAAATTTGAGCCAGCATACCTGGCTCAAAAGTTAAGTTTTTTTCTGATTTTATGCAGTCCTTTGAATTCTGATTTTTGTTGTTCTTCACATTAAAAAGAAAAAATGTGTTATAAACCAGGCGTGGTGGCACACACTGATAATCTCAGCAGTTGGGGAGGCAGAGGCAGGCCTATCTCTGTGAGTTTGAGGCCAGCCTGGTTTACAAAGCAAGTCTAGGGCAGCCAATGCTACACAGAGAAACCCTGTCTCAAAAAAAAAAGTTGTGTTTTTAGAATAGTAGATCATGAGGGTTAGAGAGAGGGTTCAGTGGTTTTTGCTCTCCCAGAGAACCCTGAGTTAGATCTCAGTACCTATGCCAGACCACTCAAAACTGTTTTAACTCCAGCTCTACAGGAATCTAATGTTCTCTGCTGGCCTCTCTAGACTTCATGTACATGCAAATGAAAAATAAAAATTTTAAAAATGGTCATGCCTGGTTCAATCAAACTACAATCACATTAAAAAGGGAACAATTATCAACTTTCTCTTTTAGAAAGCCAGGGAAATGTGATATACACCATAATTCCCCAAATTTGTATGATTTTTTAGAACTATATTCTTATATTTTAAACTGTAGCTTTGGTAATATATTGTGGATTATTAATATTTATTGTTAATTTATCTGGAGTTAAACAGCAGTTATTTCTAAACCAGCTGCATACCCAAAACACCACACAGAAACTAGGATTTACTTAATTAACCTAGAGCACCATACTGGGCAATGATTACTCCATCCTAAACCTCCAAGCCCATATAGTTTCCTCCCATTCAGAATTCACCCATTATACTTACTTTTGGTCATATCTTAGGTCTAGTTCATCTCTCCTCATGGTTCCAAGACCTCTCTTGCCGATCTTTTTCTCCTCTCCCTTTCTTCCTTCTCCTCTCCTTTGGACCAGGATGTCCCACTCTATTCTCTCCATTGCACACACTGGCTGGTTGTTTAATTGACAATTACAGAGAACAAATGATGGCATGTGTACACAAACTTGAGACAGATGATGCTTATCAATGCAATGTCAGGGATTGAAACCAGATAGTGGGGTAGGGAAATTAGCATTTGAACGAACAAGGATAATTTGTATACATTCCATAAGAACATTATACCAACAGTAATAATAGCTTTAAAATTGGATTTGTTTTGTTGGTCTTACTATGTAGCCCAGACTGACCTGGAACTCACTGTCTGCCTTTGAGCTTGAGATTCATTTGTTTCAGCTTTCCAAATGTTGGGATTATATGAATGTGCCACCATGTGCAGCTATTGTAATTCTTTATAACTCAGTTACGATATTTAACAACAATCCACTATATAAGACAGCCTGTTTTCAGGACTCTCCCTGCTTTGGGAGCTATTACTCTGCTTTTTAATAAATCCTTGTTTGCCCTCCAAAAATAAGATGATTCACTGTAGTGCTTTAAAACTGAGTTGCCTAGGGTCTTAAACTTGTGTACAGGCAACAGTTATTAACTCAGTGCTGCCTTAGTTAAATTAAAAAGCTTTTTGTACACAATTTATATGTGTGTGTGTTTGTCCATCTGCATAGGACTCAGTGTCATGTATGTAGAGGTCAGTGAACAACTTGTAGGGAGCTGATTCTTAACACGTACATGTAGATTCCAGGGATCAAACTCAGTTGCCAGGCAGTTTTCCCTGAACTGTTCACCTTTACTTTAACATGGGAAAATGTGAATGGTATTTTATCTCTGTACACACAAAGAAAAGGGTTTCATTATCTTTTCCTTTAAAGGTTTTGTTAAGTTTTCAGTTGCATTCTGAAAGTAAACAAATTTGTTTTTTCAGTAGATGGCTTACCAAATAACTTCAGAGTTCATCCACTTCAATTAGACCAATGTGGTGACCTTCCTAACAACACCGATGGCTCTGATCATGCAAAGTGTGCCTCTTCAGTACCAGAAACAAAGAAAGCCAGTGCTGGAGTGATTCGTGGTGCTTGTTTAACACTTACCGATCATGACAGAATTCGACAGTTTATACAAGAGTTTACATTCCGTGGCCTTCTGCCACATATAGAGAAAACAATTCGGCAGTTAAATGACCAGGTAAGACTTAAGCTTTTTGGGATATTAATCTTCAAATTAAGTCAATGAGTTTAAGACTGTTAAAAGTTTTGTATTTAAAGCTTTGTTTTGATTTTTGATTAACAATATTGTGAAAACTTACTGAAATCAGTATTAGTGGTGAAGTTCTTTTAACTCTAGATAAACCATATTCATTTTCATTTGGAATTTTTTCACTTTATTGACAGGTTTTAAGATTTATTCATCAGTTTTAATTTCATGTGTATGAATGTTTTGCCTGCATATATGTACCATTTTGTGCTTGGGGATTTGTGTCCTTTGCAAGAGGAGCAAGTGTTCTTAACCACCAAGCCATCTCTATAGCCTATATTGGACATTAAAAAACCAAAAACCTGTTTTTGGCTTTGTTTTATGGGTGTGAGTGTTTTGCCTGTGCATCACATGTATGTGTGCTCTGTCTGAAGGGGGTGTCACCTTCCTCAGAACTGGACGTGCTGTTGGTTGTGAGGGACTGTGTGGGTACTGAGAGCCAAACCCAGGTCCTCTGCAGAGAAACAAGTTCTATTAGCTACTGAGCCATTTCTGCAGCCCCTAGACATTTTAAAAATTAGTGTTATTTAAATAATGGTGTACTCACTAATAAAGCTTAATTTTTGTTGTTTGTAGAAAATATTTCAAGCACTTTTATTTGTCAACATATTAATTTTTTTTCCAGCTAATGTCAAGGAAAGGTTTGAGTCGATCTCTGTTTTCTGCCACTAAGAAATGGTTTAGTGGCAGTAAAGTTCCAGAAAAGAGTATTAATGAGCTGAAGAATACATCTGGGTTGTTGTGAGTAAAATATCACTACATTTAACTCTTTGCTTTAACTTTGTCTAGTGTTTGACTACAAAAACAGTGATTGGCTTTTTAATTTCTTATTTTTATATTGCTCAAAACTCAGATATCTAAGAAAGAAACTAATTACATTTTAATTAAAAAACAGCTCTTTTTGGACTTTTAATTGAACTAAATTAAATTAATTTGTTTTTTGATACAGCGTCTTATATAGAACTGAGGCTGGCTCGGGACTTGTAATAATACTGTTTCTACTTCCCAAGTACTGAGATTACAGGTGTGAACTACTATCATTGGCTTAATTGGACATTTGAAAATAAACACTTTTGGCCAAAACAGCATGGGTTCTCACCATTGCTTTTAGTTGTTCACCATAACTATTGCTGAAGATTCTACGTGGTTTGATTACAGAACACTGAGGAAGTAGACTGGAACTGACCAGGACAGTTTCATAATGCCAGAAGGTGATAGATAGACTACTGGGCAAAAAGTCACCAGTACTGTCACCATACCAACCTTCCAGGACATGTGTACTGGTCCAAAAGTGGCATGAATGTTACTTGGATAATCAATTGCTTTTATGTTAGATTTCAGGCCTGTACCAGGAGTAAATTCTTGCCTGGTATGGTAAATCTGTAAATAGCCCATGGCTAGAGAGGTGATAAGCAAAAACAAAACAAAAAACCCTCAAGTAACACACAGTGTTATTTTATTTTGGAGCTGTTTCTCTATTTGTAAGAAGATGGAGTTATTCAGTACTAGCCCTTTTTTGGCTAAAGTGCTTTGGTGTATACTTTTTTAAAGGCAACATCTTGCTGAATTGCCCCATTCATCCTTCAGCTTGGAGCTCTCCTGCTTCAGGCTCCCAGGTATTGGTGCATCACCGTGCTGGGCTCTTTGGCCTGCTGTTATAAGACAAGACATTTATTTAGTAAAGTTTGTTTCTTACACAGTCTTGCTTTAATGGAAAATGACACGAGTCTATTTGGATTTTATTTTTTTGTGTGTGTGAGTAGTGTATAAATAAGTTACCTGGTATTAACCATTTATTTACTTTATAACTTGTCCATGGGGCAAATGCTGTTCTGCAGTTGAGAAGTTTCCAGGGATATAAGTTAAACATACTAACTTTTGACTTCAAGTAGTTTTGAAAATTTATTGATACTCTTGATATTCTTCCTTGAAGATAGAATTTGTGTAAAGGAGATCAAATTTATGTTCTGGGTAGTTTAACATCTTACTATACATTTGTATGTGATGGTGTGATACACCACAAATGATGAATTATTTCTTATGTTTTAGGTATCCTCCAGAAGCACCGGAGCTTCAGATCAGGAAAATGGCTGACTTGTGCTTTTTGGTGCAACATTATGATTTGGCTTACAGTTGCTATCACACTGCAAAGAAGGATTTTCTTAATGATCAAGCAATGCTTTATGCAGCTGGTGCCTTGGTTGGTCCTGTTTGTTTATATATTTTGTGGTGCTGGGAATCAAGCCCAGGGCCTTGCATGGGCTAGGCAATGGACTGTGACTTGCCTTTGGTGCATTTAGAAAATTTACTTTGATTGTCAATACTTGTGCCCAGGGACTTCCTCTCCAGAAAAGTCTCTGCTGTCTCTTCCTCTTTGTACAGTTCCCAGCTCAAAGCAGACTTCACTTTCTCTTTCACTCTCATGTTAGGAGCACCTTTTCATCTTAGTCCCATCAGGAGGAAGTGTTTGATATTTAGATTGTATCCTCCAGCCATGCTAAGCTAGTCAACAAGTTATCTAGGTCATCTTCCAAGTTAACAGTTCATGGTTTTGTTTGTGCTTTGGTTACTTCAGGTTTATTACTTTTACAGTAGCTTTTATAAACTATAAGTATTTTCAGTTATGAATGTATAATGTTACAATAAATACACCTTGCTTTTAGCACTAAGCTCTTCTCTCATACAGCTGCTACCTTTACTTAAATAGCTTAAATGCAATATTTATCAAATATAGATAAAAATAGCAAAAATGTACGGCCATGCAGCACAGTTTTTTTTTTTTTTTAAATGTGTAACAATAAACTGAATATATGATGGTATTCCAGTAAAATTATTGCTTACACTGCATGGTGATGGTGTACATCTTTAATGCCAGCAATTAGGAGGCAGAGGCAGGTGGATCTCTGAGTTCAGACTAGACTACAAAGCCAGTTCCAGGACAGCCAGGTCTACACAGAGAAACCATGTCTCAAAAACAAATAAAACAAAATTATTGCTTAAAACATTCTCACCTACTGTTGTCATTGCCTTTGGTTTATATACATATATTCTGATATCTGCACAACAAAATCACCTCACAACAAATTTTCAGGATTTCCCTTTGTTATGGATATATGAAGGATATACCTTTAAATCATGCGTGATCGTGTATGACTTCTGTTTTTTTTTTTTTTTTTTTAAAAAAAAAACATGCTTTCTATCTAGCCTCCCTACCCTAGAACTTACTATGTAGATCAGGCTTGTCTCAGACTTAACAGGGATCAGACTGCCTCTGCCTCCCAAATGCTGGGATTAAAGGTGTGGGCCATCACCCCCAACAAAGACCAGAATTTTAAGTCAGAACAAATTGTGGTTTTGAGTCTACATTAAACTGGAGTTTATACATGTGTGCTCTGAAACCTCTAGTATTTAGCTTTATTGAGTGTTACATATGAGAATGGTTCTCCTGAGATACAGTTTTTTTGTTTGTTTGTTTTAAATTTTTTCTTCTCCTTTAGGAAATGGCAGCAGTGTCAGCCTTTCTTCAGCCAGGAGCTCCTAGGCCATACCCTGCTCATTACATGGACACAGCAATTCAGACATACAGGGATATCTGCAAGTAGGTGGATATATTATATTTTGCCTATTTTGAGATAGATTTGATATTTATAAGTAGTTCTTTGCTTTTCATGCCGTAGATTCTCAAATGAAGTTAATTTAGAGACAATTTGAAGTGAAAATAGTGCTTCTCTTTTCAGTTTCTAGCTGGGTTGCATTTGTGGATGACAAGTTGATATATATAGTGTTGAGGTTCTGTACTATTTGGGGATATTTTTTGTTGTACCACCTTTTTTATTTTACCTACAGAAATTAGCCATTTTGAATTTTTCTTGCTAATTAGGCAGAAACATGAAGAGTCAAGTAATACAGACTTAGGGGAAAATGAGAACTAACTAGTGAGTATTATTACAATTCTTATAAGAAAACTAAGAATGTACCAGAAGTCATCAGAAGGAGGCTCTTAGGTTATTTGGTAGGTAGATTTTCATTCGCCGTGCCTAGGATTTATGACTATTGAGACATTTCTAGAATTATGAGTTACAGAAGTAGGTTTTCGCTATAGTTTTGCTGGTAAAGGTCAATTTGTGTTGTGTATATGAAAAATACTGGGAGATAGATTCTTCTTCTTAGGCTGGAATTAAGGCTTCTGTTGAGGTGAATGAAAATTACTGCATATTTGAGTAGACATCACTATAAAAACTACTTTTCAGCAACTTAATCAGATGGTTAGTTTGTACTGAGAACTCTGCCCACTGAGTTACGTGCCTAGCTCTCTGATGTTTCCGTTGCAGAATATATGCGTTGGAAGACAGAGGTAGAAAAATAATTTTGAGCCCTCTATTGTTCATGTAGAAGTTATAGTTGATAGCAGTGCTTACAAAAAAACAGCATTCATAGGGCTGGTGAGATATCAGTGGGTAGAGATGGTTGTTGTTAAGCCTGACAACTTGAGTTGATCCCTGGGATCCACATGAAAGGAGAGAACTAACCCTGAAAATTGTCCTAACCTCCACATGAATGCTGTAATGACAAGTGCATTTGTGCCTCCACATGTGAATATAAATTTAAAAATAAAAACAAAACATAATACAAATAAAAAGTAATAATTTATTAAAAATTAAACAGTTTATAGAATTTAGGACTGGAGCCTTATATATGTGTAGTGAACATTAGGAGTTTATCTTTTGTGTTCATTAAGGCAGATTTAGATATTCAGGAATATTTGTTTCAAAATGTAATTTGTGGAAAGTAGGGAAGAGCATCAAAGCATTTCTTTGTTTTTGGAGGTTATGTATGAGTCTTAAGTAATTCAGGCTGGCTTGAACTTGCTATGTAGCCAAGAATGTTTCTAAATTTCCGCTCCTCTGTCTCCACTTCTGGAGTGCTAGAATCACAAGTGTAAACTATGGGACCTGATATTACTTTTTCTTTCAAAAGACAGGGTCTCATAATGTAGCCTAGATGGGCATGGAATTCACTTTGTAGACCCAAGTCTGTCTCATACTCACAGATCCACCTACTTCTGCCTGCCGCATTTTGGGATTAAAGGCACATGATGTTATGTCCAACCCATAATTCTTGTTGAGAGTAATAACCCTCTCCAACATTTTTACGTTCTTGAGTATTTGGGTATGGGCATACCATATGTGCGTATGGAAGTCAAGGACAACTCGATGGGAGTTTGTTCTCTCCTTCCAAGATTATAGGTGTATATCACTATGTGCAGCCTTGCTATGTTCTTATTTTAAAATTGTATGATGAGAAAGTGTTGGGCTGGGCCTATAGCTTATTATTTGCCAGGCTCCCAGGTTGATCCCCAGCACCTCTAAAGGAGTAAAGATTATGAAAATTTTTTTTTAAATAAGTAGGTAGAAAAATGACACCTTTTTCTTAAATCTTGATCATTTTATTGGAATTTGATAACAGTTACAGAAAGGGAGGCAAACTGGAAGCTACTGAAAGGAGACCAGGAAGAGATAGCCTTGCCTTTTGAATTAGGGTCCAAGAGAGCAGGCAGGTTCAGCTGTGGAGCTTGAAAGCAGCTGTATGGGGTGTGGGGCTGGGTGGGTATAGGATGAGTTCTTAGAGAAAGTGAGACTGTTGAGTTTGGAGCATGCATAGGACTTTAGTGTGTATCCAAAAAAGGAGGGAAAAGGGGCAGGCTTAGCTGTGAATATCTGCAAGCAGCCACCAGGACAGACTTCTTGCTGAAATTTCCTAGTGGACACTTTGAATGCTTGGTAACTTCACTGTGCTAAAGAATTACTATGATGCTGATTACTTTTCCTTGTTTGTTTTTGTTTAGGAATATGGTGTTGGCTGAAAGATGTGTGCTGCTTAGTGCTGAAATTTTAAAAAGTCAAAGCAAGTACTCAGAGGCTGCGGCTCTTCTTATACGGTTGACAAGTGAGGTACTGGACTGTGAAGTATTATTTGTTTGTAATGAGGTGCTGTATAAAACATAAAAAAGGGGGCTCACTTAATTTAGGGTCTAAACACTGTTTTTTGTTAACTTCATTTTAAGATTTTTGATTGTTTTCTTTTTTGTTTTGGTTGGTTGGTTAGTTGGTTGGTTCTTTGTTTCTTTATTTTTTGTTTTGTTTTGTAGTAGGAGGAGCTTGAGACTGTTTTTGTAGTCCATGCTGGACTTAAATTCCTACCAATTTTCCTTCCTCAGCCATCTAAGAACTGGGATTTCAGTCATTCATACCAGACTCAGCTAGTATATCTTTTATAATTTGAATCTATTTGTTGAAAATTGTTATTAAATTTATTTTATGTTTATGAGTGTTTTGTCTGTGTGTATATGTGTGCCTTGTTTATGTTTGGTGCTCATAGAGGTCAAAAGGTATCAGATCCCCTGGAATTGGAGTTCATGGATGGTTGAGAGTCTCTATGGGTACTGAAAACTGAACACTGGTGTTTTGCAACAGCACCCAGTGCTCAACTGTGGAGTCATCTTTCTAGCCCTGATTGAGTTTATTTTGTTTCTATAGTCTCAGTTCACCTTTCATTATTAACTAACCATGCCCATGTATACAACATCTTGTTTGATGTAAGTTCCATGTTATGTACAACTAAGACATGCTTGTGTTTCAATCTAGTATAAAACTGCTTAAAAAAATCACTGAGGAATGTTTAATCTCAGTTTTTACCTGTATGACCATTTAAAGAAAGCCATTAAGCATTAAAAATGCATCTAAAACAGATAAATCTAAAAGGTGACTGGCCATCCTAGTCTACTTTGGATGCACCCAAGGCATCTTAAATTAACTTGAGCAAATTTAAAATTTTCTACCCAATACTTTTGTGACACATTATCAGCAGTCAGCTCTACTTGATCAGGAAAGGGGGGCTTGCAGTGCTTGAGATACTTTTGTGTTCATTCATCCTGTCATAGGATGGACTTGACATTGCTGTTGGGCAGGGGTATCCTCTGAAACATACTTTCATTCATATCTCAAAGGTCTCTCTGAAAGCCCACCATTTCCTTTTTAATTTGTTACCACTGTGACGTGTGGTGTGTATGATGATGATGTGGCAGGAATTCCCTAGCACACAACACAGGCAGAGGTCATGAAATGAGTTGGTGGAGTCACTTCTCTCCTTCTTTCAGTGGGTTGGATGGCTTTCCCTAAAGTGGCCAGGCTGTGTGCAAGTACCGTCACCTGCTGAGCTGTCTCACTTGGCCTCTACTGCCTTTTTGGTTTACATCACACTCTTCTTTGGCTCTTTTCTTGGAATTTGCTGGTCATGTCCCAGTTTTCTAGTGCCCTGTTTTGCCCTTTTTTTTTTTTTTTTTTTTTTTTTTTTTTACTTTCTCTTACACTGCCTGGTATGAGCTTTTTGAAACCTCCAAGCCCACCCCACCTCCGACAGTGTTGCACCTCCTAGTCCTTTTAATCCTTCTTAAATAGTGCCACTCCATGGTGACTTAATTATTTAAATATATGAGCCTATGAGCTCATGGTGGCTATTCTTATTCAGATCACCACATTGTATCAGGCATGGGCTGATTGGTACTGTTGAATACAGGCTCTTGATCTTGACTTTGAGCTCTGTGTTATGTTTCTCATACCAGGGTTATCAGTGATATACAAGTAATTTATGATGTAGAAATTAGTATAGGGTTTTTTGTTTGTTTGTTTTTTTGCTTAAATATGTTTGCCTTTTTACCCCCATATGAATAAAATTTCTTAAGAGCACATTCTTTTGTTTGTATTATAACTTTCTCACTTGTTTTTAACTTTACTATCTCAAATCTATATGGTTGTCATTTATTGCTTTAGGGTATGGGTAGGAACAGGTTCTAGTAACGTTTTCCCAGAATAATGAATTTGCAGTGATCTTTTAGGCTTTTCTTCTCTCCTCTTTATCTCCCCTTCTTTGCCCCTCTCTGTGTTTGAGATTGAACTCAGGGCCTCACAAATGCCAGGCAAGTTCTGTCCTATCGAACCATATTTCCAGCACCACCTCCCTCCATATATATTTCTTAGCAATAACTTGATTTTTAATTGTACTTTTTATTCAGTTTTCTGTGTGTGTGTTTGGGCACACGTGCATGGCATTTGTGAGAAGGTCAGAGGACAAGTTTGTATTGTCATTCATTTGTATTGTCATGTCATTCATTTAAGTGAGTTCTGGGGAAAAATTCAGGTTGTCAGGATTCCATGGCAAATGTTTTTGCTTTTCTTTGTTTTGTTTTTACCTGCGAAGTGATCTTACCAAGCCCCTCTTTGTAATAACTTGATAGTAAAGATTTGAGTGTTATAGTATATTTTAAGTAGTCAGTAGTCTGTGCTTAATTTTATTTCAGTTTAATTAATTCATGATGTGAATTTAAAATCTTTCTTGAATCACTCAGTACTATGATGTTAAATTTGGAAATGCTGAGTTTATTATGGGGGTTTAACTGGACTATACATTGAGTCACTGGAAAACCATTACAGATTTCTAGAGAACATCCTTTACATAAGATATCCAGGATTGGTACCTATTCAATTTGCTGTTTAATGAAGTTGAGTGAGTGAGTGAGTGAGTGAGTGAGTGAGTGAGTGAGTGAGTGTGTGTGTGTGTGTGTGTGTGTGTGTTCACAGAGGCCAGAAGTTTTGCATTTCCATGGAGCTTGAGTTATATGCAGTTGTGAACTTCCTGACATGGGTGCTGGGAACTGTACAAGGGTCCTCTGTAAGAGCAGTATATGCTCTTAACTGCCAAACCATCTTTCCAGCACCAGAAACCAGAATTTTTAATCTCCATTGATGAGAATATTTTTTTAATCTTTTTGGCAGCGATTTGTGTGCAATGATTAGAATTTCAGATTACATAATTTTCATTAATTTCTACTTCCAGAAATTTGTGTAATAAAAGTATCTGAATAATTACTGAGGGTTTTTTTCTTGTTGTTTTGTTTTCTTTTGTTTATGACTGAGTGTGACGACATACAGCAGACAAGGCAGGAAGACTGTGGGTTTGAGACCAGCCAGGGGTATGCAGAGGGATATGCAGAGTTGTAGACCAGCCTAAAGCTACATTGTGAGCTCTTATCTCAGGAATTAAGAGCAAAGAGTTGTAGCTCTGTGGTAGAACACTTGCCTAGGTTCAGTTCTCCGCAACACTCACACATACACGTATGCACATATACACATATGCACATGCGCTTACATGCATGCACGCCTACACACATGCACAAGAGAAATTATACTTACTGGGTCATTTTTTAATAGTAGCAAAAAACCAATATATAATTGATTAATTTATAACTATAAGTTATAATATTTTTATATACTAGAGAGTCTTTTTAGAAGAAATGAAGCATGGAAATGGCTTGGAAAAAAAGCAAGATATTGAGTATGCTACTACTTCTATATAAAAATGTGTGTGTATGTGTGTTTTCATACATGCGTGTTAGTCACAAACACTCATGGAAAGAGAAACAGAAAACAGCATCAAATTGGAAAAAGTCTTATGCAAATAAATTGTAGTATGGATGACAAAGATATTTTTTTACAGTTACTTTAAATAAATAAATATATTTATATTGGAGGATGGAAGTATATCTCTAAGACTTTAAGACTGTTAAAAAAGTTATAAAAGTGGTCTGTTTGATATAACTAATTTATTGAAACAATTGTATTTAAAAGTCAATTTTTTTCTGTTTTCAACTTTCCCTCGGGAAAATAATGGCAGCAGAACACATGGAAGGGCCTGGTAAGTTCAGCTTGAGGCTGAGGACCTAGAGAAAGTTGGGAAAAGTTGTTGATTCTTAATCAGCAACCCTCATCACTTTCTTCCTTATCTCTGAAGTGATGGCTTACCAGGAGGGGAGGCAGTGAAGATGAGTTGTTACAACTCCTAGGCAGGCTGGGGCAGGCAGGCTGCTGAACTAACTTATAGTCCTCCTGTTCCTAATTTACAAAGAGCCTATGAAGAGATCCTCACGTGCCTTCAATATTTCAGTAAAAATTGAGGGTTCCTTTAAATAAATGTTCTTTAAGGAGACTAAAGTAAAAAATTAGCTTACATCATAATCCACACATAATCTATCCTGTATTCTTTGGGGAAGGGTGTACATTAAATATGCTGTTAGTCACCGGGTAATATCCACGAGAAGCTAGGTTGATAGAACTATTTTTCTGTGTTTCATGTTCTTGAGTTTGTTTTTAGTTAGAATACCTGTATTTAATTCTCAGTTTGTATTCTCCTTCCCACTTATAAGTGCTTAGAAGGGTTGCAATAATTCAGAGGTTTAGTGCATAGTACACAACATAATTAGTCATTTGGATTTATTGAAAGGAACAAAAACCAGTCATTTTGGGGGCAGTCTTTTTAAATTATATCTGTGATGCTTGGAAAAAGAGTTGAGATTGGTTTGCCCTTGTGTCTCTGCCCTCTTCTACCCTAAGCTACACATTGGCTGTGTTGTGTGCTAGGAAACAAAACCTCTTTTGCTTTCACTTTTGGCACTAATTTATCTTTCTTTTGCACATTCACAGGATTCTGATCTCCGAAGTGCACTTCTTTTGGAGCAGGCTGCACATTGCTTCATAAACATGAAAAGCCCCATGGTTAGAAAATACGCATTTCACATGATCCTGGCTGGCCACCGGTTTAGTAAAGCAGGGCAGGTAAGTGCATTGTCTTTAAATTGCCTCTGGAAAGATGCTCAGCAGTTAAGAGCTGTTGCTGCTCTTCCAAAGAACCTGAGCTGGGATCTAAGCACCCATACAGAGTCATTCACAGCCTTTAACTGCAGCTGCAGGCATCTGGTGCCCTTCCTTGACTGCCTTCGTGTGCAGATACCTGTGAGCACAGACCCACATGTGCACATGTAATTAGAAGTGAAGACAAGTCTTTTTTAAAAGGTTCTTGTTTTGTTTTTTTTCAAGACAGGGTGTTTCCCTATAGCCCTGTTCTAGAACTGAGTCTGTAAACCAGGCTGGCCTGGAGATCTGCCTGCCTCTGCCTTTCAAGTGCTGGAATTCTTGTCATTATTTGTTTGTTTGTTTGTTTCTTTCTTTCTCTCTGTATGCACATGTGTGTGCATACGCTCTCACATATCCATGTGAGAAGTCAAGCAGCTTACTTGCAGGCATGGTTCTCATCCTTCTATAGTATGGCCCCCCTGGGTTCGGACTCTGGGTGTCATTCTTGGTGGCAAGACTTTACCTTCAGAGGACTCTTGCCTACCTACCCCTGCTTGCCAGCCTTTTATGGTTTAATCCTAAAAGTTGAAATAAATTTTGTTTTCAGATAATATATGGATAAAAACATGAGATTTGGATTTAGACAGATAAACGCTTAAATCTTGATAGATACATAAACAGTTTGAATTTGTTTACTTAACTTTTCTGTGGCTCAGTTTGGGCTTTTAATTTTTTGTTTAGTGTCATTAGTGTGTGCGTGTGTGAGGTATTGTGTGTGAGGTACCTCACATGGTATTGAGGTATTGTATACCTGTGAAGGTCAGAGGACAACTCTTTGGCATCCGTTTTCTCCTGTCACTTTGAAGGGTTCAGGACTAGAATTCAGAACAGTAGTCCTGCATGCAAGTGTCTCTGTTCTTGAGCCATCTCCTTGGCCCCCTCTGTCTCTTTTTATTCAGTTCAGGAACCCAAGCCTTATGGGGTGGTACTCCTCTAATCAGGATGGGTCTTCCCTCCTCAGTTAAACCTTTCTGGAAACACTCTTATAGACGCTCCCAGCGGTGTAGTTCCATGGTGAGTCTAAATCCAGTCAGTTTAGCCCTCCTGGTTAGCCAGTATACCTTACTTGTTCACAGAAAGAATGTGAAAGAAATAAAGCCAAATTGATCAATGAGTGTTTTCCTCAGAAGTTAATCTTGGAGAAATGTGGGATAGGTGTCAGAACAGACAAAAACGCATGTACACTCACACTGTGGACAGCTGAGGAAACCTAAAGTATGGTTCCAGGTAGAGTTGTATAATTGTGAGGAGATGGTCCTACTTGTTGGCTTCATTTTCTTTCTTTATCATATTCTCTTTTTAGCGGATGAAACAGTTATTTGCGTATGTCTCCATATGTGTCTGTTTGTGTTTATTATTTCCAGTTCAAGGAGATTTAAACTGTAATACACGTTTCATTTATTTTCTTATAGAAAAAGCATGCTTTGCGCTGCTATTGTCAAGCCATGCAAGTTTACAAAGGAAAAGGCTGGTCTTTGGCAGAGGATCATATCAACTTCACCATTGGGCGTCAGTCCTATACGTTGAGGCAGCTAGACAATGCTGTGTCTGCTTTCAGACACATTTTAATCAATGAAAGCAAACAGTCTGCTGCTCAGCAAGGGGCCTTTCTCAGAGAATATCTTTATGTTTATAAGGTAACTACTTCTCTTTAGGAATAAACATCCAAACTGTTTTAAAGTTATTATTTTCAGGAAAAAAATGTGCTTATTATTAACTCCTTAAAGTATAATAAAGTGGCTTTATTGCAGAATATGTAATCACCTGTCATAAAGTTATGGAAGGTGTTTTGGTTATAGATCTGTACTGCTTGGCCCTTATTACGGTTTTTAAAAGATAATTTTAATATTTCAGGAAACATTGTTTGTATCTTTTCTTTTTCTAATATTTTTAATTAAAGTAGAATTATATCACTTTTCCTCTTTCCTTTCCCTTGAATCCTTCCTATAGCCCCTCCTCTCAAATTGATAGGGCCTCCCTTTCTTTGATTATTTTTTTTAATTTAAATTTACTTATTTACTTAATGTATTTGGGTGTTTTGCCTGCATGTCTGTGCATTACATTTGTGCCTGATGCCTACAGAGGCCATAAGAAGTGTTGGATACCCTGGGACTGAATTGAAGATACAGATAATTGTGAGCCACCAAGAGTGCTGGGAATTAAGTCCTATACCGGTGGAAGAGCAGGCAGTGTTTTTTTGCTGCTGAGCCATCTCCAGCCCCTTTTCTCTTTTGCTCTAGGTCTACTTTTTAGCTAGGATGCCTCAGGAGCTTCACCGTCCTGCCTGAGCTTCCCAAGTACTAGTAGCACACCACCCAGACATTCTTTAATTTGAAACTTGGACTTATTAATTTAAAATCAGACCAGTTAAAAACTTGGCAGATAGGATGCTATAATGAGTCAACAAGAAGCAAATTCACACTAAAGTTCCATGTGGAAGTTTAATATGTAACTAAACAAAAAACTAGTTGAAGGTTCTGGGTTTTTTTTATTTTTTTTAATTTTTATTTTTTTGAAGGTTCTGTTTTTAAAAGTGGTACTGACACTTAAAACCAGGCTTTGTATCTGCTAAACAGGACTACAGCACTCTTCCACTGAGTATTTCCTGGCCCCTTTACTTTGTGTTTTGAGATAGGGTAGTTGCTCAGGCTGTCTTGAGTTTACCCTGAAGGCCAAGGCTCCTAAGTATCTGGAGTTAGTTACAGGTTTATGCCACCAGCCTGGCCAGCAAGATTCTCCATAGGTAAACTAAATGATGATGTTTAAAGTTTTAAATTGTAAATTTTTATGACTCTGGTGTAGTACATAAACTAATACTTGTATGTCTAAATTTTCTTGCATAACATTTTGATATCTTGTGTGTTAAAAACTAGGAAACATGAAAAAATGTAGTTTTCCTAAAAACTATTTTTTTCCTTCTTTTGTATTTCTCCCAGAATGTAAATCAGTTGCAACCAGATGGCCCTTTACCACAGCTTCCCTTACCATACATTAACAGTTCAGCAACACGGGTTTTCTTTGGCCATGACAGACGACCAGCAGATGGTTAGTAAATTTTCACTTGGCCTAGTTACCTAATGACTATTTCTTTGAAGTGTTCTTTCTCCAATTAGAAATTGTAACCACTACTTTATTGTTTTTCTTTTTAGTCCAAAAAGTAAAAACAATAAAAATCAAATGGTTGTGATCCATTATGGCAGCTTTTCTCACATAAATGTTCAGTACTATTTAACCTTGGCAAGCATCTTAATGTTTGTTATATACTCCACTCAGTGCATATAAAACACCTTTAAATAAAACATTCATTCTCTTTCTGGAGTTACTGACTTTAGTTTGTATAAAATCATACTGTGATGAGCATGTAGAAAACTTAATTTTTGAATTATTTTTTTTTTCCAGTCCTGATACAAGTTAACTGGAACTCTTGTATAGGCCTTGAACTTGGAGCAACTTGCCTCTGTCTCTCAAGTGTTATAGTTGTACACCACCACACCCTGCTTAGGGTCTTTAACTTTTTATTATAGAAATATATGTAGAAGCAGCTAACACATTTTACTTCTATGCTTATAAGATTTTAAGGTTAAAAAAATTTGTAGACAGAGTTCTGTGCAGTTCATGCTAGTTTCCAGCTTTGTACCTTAAGATGGCCTTGAACCAATTCTCTTGCGTCCTCCTCCCAAGTGCTGGGATTACAGGTCATATATCACCATGCTTAATTTTATTCGGTTCTGGAGATCAAATGTAGCACTTTTTATGTGCCGGGCAAGCACCCTCTTACTAAGCTATATCACCACCCCCTTTTAAATAAAGACAGGGTCTTTTCCTTGGAGTTGAGGCCTGAAAAGGCCTTCACTCTTAGACCAAAAGTTGGGTGTATTAGTGTTCTTGATGAGTGGTGAGCTGTGTGTGGTCATCATAGATAACTTTCATATTTCAGCTCAGGGTGTTTCTCCTTCAAATCAAAATTAACTTTATATCATGATTGTTTTTAATAGCAAAAAGATTTTTATATATTCACATAAGGGCTATCTATGCTGCAGGGCCTGAATGAACTATTTCTACGTATTTAACTTTAGATAATGAAACAATGTTTAGTGAAAAAAAATCATTTGCAGCTTAAATTTGAAATACAGAAACCAGTTCTATGCATTGTTTATGTCTATACTTCTCATAAAACTTCAAAAAAAAATGTAAATATGCCTGCAAGTGCTAGAATTTAAGCTCAAGGAGAAGTGATGCCAGTGGAGGTGATGGGGATGTTAGGATTGGGAGAAGTGCAGAGAAGGTGTTGGCTATAAAGCTCTTTCTGTTAAAAAAAAAAAAAATCAAGATCATGAAATGAAAGTTGACTTTATCAGGGAGGCAGAGGCAGGTGGATCTTTGTGAGTTCAAGGCCAATGCCTGGTCTACAAAAGCAAGTCCAGGACAGCCAAGGTTACACAGAGAAACCCTGTCTTGAACTACTGCCCTCCCTCCCCCCAAAAAAGTTGACTTTAAAATATTTTCAAAATACGACTTGATGGGTCAAGAGGTAATGGCACTTGGTGAAATAAATGTCTGATGACAAGAAGCCACATGGTGGGAGTAGAGAACTGATATCAGCCCAAAATTGTGCCAAGAATGCACCTCCCCACATGCATGCATGCATGCATGCATACATACATACATACATACATACATGCATGCATACATGTAATTCAAAAGAAATTTGTTAAGATATAAGCGACGGGACTGGAGGGGTAGCTCAGTGGTTAAGAGCACATGCTGCTTTTCCAAAGAACCCAGGTTCAATTCCCAGAACCCATATGGCAGCTCACAACCTTATGTAATTCCAGGCTCCAAACTCTTCTTGCCTCTATGAGTACCAGGTATGTAAATGGTACACAAACATGCAGGCAAAGCACCTGGCAGTGCATGTCTTTTTAATCCCAGCACTTGAGAGGTAGAGGTAGGCAGATGGATCTCGAACTTCGAGGCCAGTCTAGTCTACTGAGTGAGTTTCAGGAGAGCCAGAGCTTCATAAATAAACCCTGTCTTGAAAAACCAAAACCAAAGTAAATAAAAAATAAAGATGCAAGCCATGAGTTGTGATCCATACCTTTAATCCCAGCACTTTGGATATGGAGGCAGGAAGTTGAGTTTCATGTCATCCTTAAGTTACACAGCTAGTTTAAGGCTAGCCTGAACTAGATGTTGAATCAAAAACAAAATTTTCATTTATAAGCAGTGTTTTCTTATATTTTTTGTATGTTGAAATGTTTTATGTAAAAATTGTGGAAGTTAGGCAAAAATAACATAATTGTAAGCCACAGAGAAAAGAATATCCATATTAGAAGCCTAATGAGCAGATATTTTGTTGATCAGAGAATTAAAATTGGGCAAGAGTGCATATATATGTATGTGTATTTATTTGGATACCTCTGGTTCTTCTTTGAAATATGTTTTATATGAGACAAATGTTCATGTGTGTTTAAATGTGAAATTTGCTTTCTTTTTTTTTTTTTTCTTTTTTTCTTTAAGGTGAAAAGCAAGCAGCTACTCATATAAGTCTTGATCAAGAATATGACTGTGAGTCATCCCAGCAGTGGCGAGAACTTGAGGAGCATGTTGTGGCAGTAGCTAATAAAGGAATAATTCCATCCAGTTTCTACCCCACACAGTATTGTTTGAACAGTTACTCCGATAACTCCAGATTTCCTCTTGCAGTTGTGGAAGGTGATATAATTGAGCTTAACTTATGTGTATGATTGTTTTGCCTGCGTGTGTGTATGTGCACCACATGCGTGCCTAGTGTCCCTGGAAGGCAGAAGAGGACAATGGATCTCATGGAATTGGTGTTAAGAGATGGTTGGGAGCTGCCCTGTGGGTTCTCTGTAAGACCAGCAAATAATCTTAACCACTGAGCCATCTCTCCAGCCCAATACTTGAATATATATTCATGACTTTTTTGTTCTACTTAGAGCAAATTCCAGGTAATTTATGGTATGCCATGTTACTGGAGGCTATGGGCATGAAGATGACTCACTATGTACTGAGCTGCATTTATAAGCAAATGGTGGGGCTCTGCTATCCGTGTGTGTGACATGATGTTTGAGTACCAACAGAGTGATATTAGGGACATCTAACTCACTTCTAGACTGAGCTCTATAAGGTGATGGAAGGCAGTCAGGAAAAATACCCACAGAAGGTATGGGGATGGGCAGTGTGGGGCTTATGAGTTATTACATGTAGCCATTTTCTTTTGCAGAGCCAATTACAGTGGAAGTGGCTTTTAGAAACCCTCTAAAAGTTCCACTTTTGCTATCTGATTTGTCACTGCTCTGGAAGTTTCAGCCTAAAGATGCTAATGGGAAAGACACTGAAAAAGTTAAAGAACGAGTAAGTTACTAACAGGTGTCTGAGCTACAGCCTAACAATCTGTTGCCATTTTACTTTTTTCTCTTAGTTTTTCTAATTATAAAAACCACGTGTGCTTAATCTTGAAATATAAGAATACAGAAAAATATGAATTTAAAACTTATCTTCCTGCCACTTAGGAATAACTACAGTGATATTTTGCTGTGTATCTCTATATTGATTTTTCATTTGTATGGTTTTTGCTCATGTTTTGGATTTCTTTCTACTATTCATGTTGCTGAGTATATGTTTTCTAGTGTTAAAATGTTTAATACTTCATTTTTTTTTTTTTAAATAACTTGTTACATGGATGATTCACTGACTATTTTACTGTCATTTACTGGTTGGTTTGAAAGTTTCCATGTTAACTGTCACAATAATTCTATGGTAAATTTTTTTTTTGTAAAATATTAAAATTTTATATATATAATATATATATATATGAGTGCTCTATCTGCATGTACACCTGCATGCCAGAAGAGGGCATCAGATCACATTATAGATGGTTGTGAACCACCATGTGGTTGCTGGGAATTGAACTCAGGACCTCTGGAAGAGCAGCCAGTACTTTTAACCACTGAGCCATCTCTCCAGCTCTTCTATGCTGAATTTCTAAATTTAAATTGTGGTAGACTTTTGGGTCAAATATATGGCCTCTTGTGTGTTAGGCAAGCCACATACATCCTGTGGTATTTTTGTGCATAGCTTTTAAATCATGATTTTGGCTATCGTTAAGTGTAAACAGTTGAACTTCTTCTCTTGGGGTCTTGTTCTCCTGATGACTGCATCTTTGAATAGGTCACTTATCTGCTTTAGATGAGTCAGGCTGAACCAAATGAAAACTACATTAAGGGCCTTCATAGCTCGACTGTACTGTGGGCATGGAAAACACACTGCCCAACACCTACAAGTGCTGGTTTCAGTTGATGGTACTCTTTGTAAATTTGACCAGGAAGGTGTTTAGAAGCTGTTGTTTTACTCAGAGTGATTATTTTAAAAAATATAATTTCTTCTTTAGGTTACAGATGAATCTGAAATGATTGGAGCTGAAGTTATTTCAGAATTCTTAATTAACAGTGAAGAATCTAAAGTGGTAATTGTTTTAATAATTTTTCTGTTTTTACCTTTCTATGCTTGTAAGCTGAAAACAAAATTTAAAAGATCAGCTTAATTCCTGTAGCTGTTACATATTTTAGCTTTTTCAAGTCTAAAATTTGGAAGCTTAGAAAACTGGAGTTGCTTCGAATAACTAAGTAGGAAAGTAGTAGTTGGTTTTTGGTTACATGTCTGGAGAAGCCTGGCACACTTTTCACCAGTTGGTGTTCATATGGCAAAGGTACCGGCACTTAGTGTGCAGGTTTCCTTCCCTCCTTCCTTTCGGTCCTTCTTTTTTGAAAGAGTCTCACTGTGTATCCTTGTCTGGTCTGGAATGCACATTGTAGACCAGGCTGGCTTTGAACTTACAAGGATCGCCTGACTTTCCTGTTCAGTGCTGGGATTAAAATGTGTGCCACCATGCCCAGCACAGATTTAATTAAATATTTTAGGGCTGGGATTTGCTTAGTGTATGCAAGGCCTTGTGTTTGAGTCCCAATACTACAACAGAAAAAAAAAATAAGATTTTTTTGAGGATCGAGACATGTAATATTTGATTTGTTTGTTTTTTGCCTGTCATGGTGGTATACACCTTTAGTCCCAGGACTCAGAGATATGTAGATCTCTATGAGTTTGAGGCTAGACAGTTCTACACAGCAAGTTCTAGACTAGCCAAAGCTACTTAGTGAGACACTCAATAACAAAACAACCAAAAAACCAAACAAACATAAAAACCTAAAACAACTATTGAATTTATAGTTTTTCTTCCAAGAAAGATGTTTTTCTATACTTATCCTGGCAGGGGAGATACCATGGCTAAGAAAGTGATTTTCCCAGGGTCAGGCTCCTCCATTGCACTTGGGATTGCTGGCCCTGCAATTCCCTCAAATGGCGGAAACCCACTGCATTGTGATAGGTGGTGGGCTATGTGCGTGCTTTCCCCTGAAGCAAGAATTAAAATAAAAATAAAAATATTTTTTCATAAGAAAAAATGTCATTTTGATAGTTTAGATCATGAGTTAATTCTGCAATATTCCAAAATTGAGGTACTGTGCTGTTTAAGATCCTGTGAAAACATAATAAGAATGACTTCAATATTTCCATAGGCAAGACTGAAGCTCTTTCCCCATCACATAGGGGAACTGCACATTCTGGGAGTTGTGTATAATCTTGGCACTATTCAGGGCTCCGTGACAGTAGATGGCCTTGGTGCTCTTCCTGGATGTCACACAGGTAAAGCAATAACATCGCTAAGCAGTTAGAAAAGTAACACTTCCACTATCCCCTAGAATACAGTAGTGAGTAAAGGGGTTTTCTAAATAGGTCTAATGATCCTTTCAAGCATATCTAACCTTTTGACATTGTCCATGTTATGTTATCTATAAAGTTCTATTTTGAGAATTATAGTCAAATTATAAAAAAAATTATTGCCAAAAAAATCTCATAATATTTTAAGTAAGCATGTGATTTTTATTGGGTTGCAGGTTGGCATCTAGGCATGTATAAGCAATTTAGATTATTCTAACTTTTGGTATGGATTCAGAAGTAAGGGATTTTATTTTCTTACTCATAATATTTTGTTACTGATCTCAATTTAGTAAATTCTAATTAAAATTTATAAGTTGAAATGTCTGCTGCCAACACAAAACCACCTTAGTATATTTTTAAAAAATATATCCTTTGTATAAAGCAACATAACTAAAGAAACTGTTTTCTCATTGGATATTACATACTCAAAGCCACCTGTGGCAGTACATGCCCTATGGGAGAGTTGTAAAAGTAGCCTAAGCAGTTTAGTTAGACATTGTCTCAAAACAGAAACAGTAATATTTGGGCTATTGGTGTACCTCATTGGTAGTGCACTTGCCTAGCATGAGGTTCCAGGTTCAGTCTCTAGTGCAAAGAACAAAACAACAGAAAAAAATGACTTAAAACATTGTTGTCTGTAACCAAAAGGAGCAGAGTTAGTTTTAAGCTAATATTGGTGTCATAAACAGTGTTCTCTGCAAACTTTGAGAAAAACTAAAGACACATGTGTTTAACATGGCTTGGTGAGTTTTGTTGGCTTATTTGTTAAATAATTTGGAGAACTCTTTAAGACAGTAATATTATTTTATAATTAATATGTAGTTGGTTGTGTTTAGGTTGAAAAGATGCTGAGAAGGGAGTTTGCAATAAAATGCTGTAGTTCCAGAACTTTATCTTAGTAGATATATCTTATAACAACTTAAAATTGACTGGCATTGATGTGTGTGAGTTTAACATTCATAAAAGCTGATTACTAGCAGTGGGAATCTCTTGGAAGACTTACTGAACTTTGTAGTTAACATTTCCCATTGGACATAAGAGAAACTAAAATAGAAAGGATAAAACAGCTTGAACACAAATACAAACACACAAAAATTGAGTATGGTCTTCTGAGTTTTAGTATTATATTTCTGCTTTCTGTTTGATAATTGCTGGCGGGTTCATTTGTAAGTCATCTTGCTAATTTATTGCATTTTAGAAAGAGTGTGAGGGAGTATTTTTTTTACTTTCCTTTCTCATTGGTACTTAACTCTTAATTTAGTGCCACAGCATTAAGGTAATCCATAAAATGCAGCTAACAGGGTACCAAGACAGATACATTAAAGATCATAATTTAGGGCTGGAAGGAGGATGGCTCAGTGGTTAAGAGCACTGTCTGCTCTTCCAGAGGTCTGAGTTCATTTTCCAGCAACCACATGGTGGCTCACAGCCATCTGTAATGTGTTCCCATGCCCTTTTCTGGCATGCAGGTGCACATACAGACATAGGACTCATACATTAAAAAATAAATAAATATTTTAAAGAAAAAGATTATAATTTATGTTACTGTGTGACAGTGACCCTGAGTTAACATTAAAATAAGTCTCACCTTATAAACAGAGTTTTCTTGACATTTTAGTGTAGTTTCTTTTATGCAGAATGTTCATAGGGGTCTCAGTACAATAATTTGTTGGAAAACTATCTTATATATTTAATCTGGAACTGGCACAATGATCAAAGGTCCTGAGTAGCATTCAGGAAAGATGGAGTTGTATGCCCACCCTATCCCGTTCACACATGAGAGTACTATACAAAGCCTTTGGTGAAACATCATATAGATATTGAAGAAGTTAAAGGAAAACTAATATAATTTTCATTGTTTAGCCTTTTCAAAGCTGTAGCTAACTATACATCGTCAAATTAGTGCCATATTTGATATGAATAGAAGTTAAAAAGCTGACAGGTGTTATGTATTAACTCAGTATATTCTCATGGCCCATATCAACACTGGGACTAAGAAAGTTGTTCTTGGGTCTTTTGGTGAATAAGGATTATGGTTTATAAGATACAGGTTTTTAAAGCCTAGCCATTATGCAACACAAGTAAATCCAAAACAAAATGAGAACTTGAATAGCATACCATAGATGATATTAAACATGGAATTAAAGTGTACTTACTGTTGTAATTATGTGTGTTACTCAGCAATTGCCTGGAATTTTTGTAGCATTTATGAAAATCTGTAGTATTTATATAGTCAAGTTAACTTAAATCATCAAACTTATCATATTTTAGGGTACTGATTTTGTTTAATTTTAGGAAAACATTCTCTGAGTATGTCAGTCCGAGGGAGACAGGATTTAGAGATTCAAGGCCCTCGACTTAACAACACCAAGGAAGAGAAGACATCTGTTAAGTACGGTCCTGACCGACGTTTAGACCCTATAGTCACCGAGGAGATGCCGCTGCTGGAGGTATCACACTTCTCCCAATGTCATGGCCTAATAATTGCAGAGCCAGATGATGGTTTCATAGATATTAATTTTAGGCTGAGGTTGATAGGACGTTGAACTGCACCTTTGTTGTTGTGTTTTTTGTTGTTTTGTTTTGAGACAGTGTCTCTATGTAATTCTAGTTAGCCTTGAACTCATAGAAATCTGCCTGCCTCTGTCTCAGTGCTGGAATTTGAATTGCACTTTTAAACTACTGTCAAGCTAGCTAAATAGATCTCATAGATGGGTCAGGCTTTGTGCAAATTGGCATTCCATCATAGCCATGCTATGTAATTCTCAAAGTATTATTAAAAACTGGGGGAATATTTGTAACTCAGCATTTTGGTTATTGAACTCGATGACCCTTTGCAATTTATAAAAATAACATATATACATGTGAGTGAATGCTCATAGACAGTTTAAGTGGTGTACAAGTGTTTGGGGATGGGTGCATCTGGACAGTGACTCAGACTCAGACAAAATGACCTATAACCTTATAATATGTGTGTATATATGTATACACACACACACATATGTATGTATGAGTGGAGGAGAATGGGTCTCTGGGCTTTTCCAGTAGTAAGGAGACCATGAGAAAAAGTGCTGAGGAAGAAGGGAAAGCAACAGGATGTAACATGTAAAAGGAAAGGCTGTGTGGGTGTATGGAAGAGTACAAGGGGTATGGGGGAGAAGATGGGAAAATTTGTTTGTAAGTTCCATAGTGAGACCTAATATGGTGTGTGCTAGTTCCCAGTTTCCCTAGTTGGGAAGTTGGTAAATGTGAGCACCTTTCTCCAAAAGGCACCTGTAGTATGATCCCAAAATGGTGTTTATGTTTTCAGACCTTGTGATTTTAAATATGGCATTGGTAATTAGTTATAAATATCATCATGTCACATAATTAGGTGGTGGTAGTGGTGTGTGTTGAAGGGAGACCATTGTTGAGCTGCATGTATTCTGCTCGGATCTAATGCATTTAAAGTCAAAGGGGCAAAATTTAATGGGGGGGAGGGGGAGAAAAAAGGATACATGCCCGAGTGCCATTGTCTTGTTGATAAATATTTTATACATATTCTAACTTTATTTGTATTCTTGTCTATGTTGTCTAGCTGTAGTCATGTAGCTTTTTATGTGTTAGTGTCAATGTTGAGGCCTTTTACTTATCTGCAGTCATATGTAGCTTTTTATGTGTTAGTTTTTGTTCTATACTGATTCTTCTAGCCAGTTAAGTTAAATTTGATTAATTAATTGACTGATTGATTGTGGCTGGGGTTCAAACCCAGGGCCACACATGTGCTAGACATGCATTTGGCCATTGAGCCAGCTATATTTTATTTACTAGTGTCTGTATTCTTTAAACAATTTATTCTTTCCCTTTATTTTTTGGTGTTTTCCTTCGTATTTATTTTGCATGAGTGTGTGGATGCATGTACTAGAGTGTGTATGTGAGGTCGGAGGACACTCCAGCCAATACCTTCCATTGCTAAATATCTCACCACCTGTTTATGGAGTGTGGGACTGCTTTTCCCACCTCTGTGTACCAAGTGCCTGGGCACCCTGCCTGTCATGTGTGTGTACTAAGTTGAAGGAGTGTGTTCTCCTGACTGTCAAGGGAGTATGACAAAAGCTTGTTTCTAGTTCTCTCAGTAGGCTGTATGCTGCTCATTATGCTGTTTCTGTACTGATATTCTGAAAATACCCTCTTGTTTATTCAGAGTTTTTGTTGTTTGTTGAGACAGGATCTTACTATGTCCCCGGGGCTAGCCTGGACTTTGATATGTAGACCAGGCTGGCCCGAGATCAGCCTGCTTCTGCCATTTGAGTGTTGGGATTAAAGACATGGGCCACCATGTGTGGCTGTTTATTTGACACTGTGTACTGCCTTTTTGATTCAGTGGTGTTTTATTTCTGTGTAAGTTGTGTCTTTAACATGACCAGCCCAATCTCCAAGCTTCCTATATTCCTATTCTGGCTTGTCAAGTTCTTACAGTGATAATTCATTACTGTTGCATAGTTGTAGGTAAGATCAGCGCCTGGAGAGGAATTGAGACAGATTAGCGTTTAAATGCTATGTTTCATCTGCTCTCTTTTATAATTTAAAGTCATAGGTGTTTGACTAGAATTACAAAGCAACAATTTATGAGAACTTACTTTCAAAAGCAGATGTTCTGATCACTATAATAAGTTTTCAAAATTAATTAGAGGTTACCAAAACATACTTAATTCTATTACTTCACAGTTTTTGTTAAATCATATAATTGAAATGTTCCTTAGTTATTAAAGCTGTTAAAAGTGGTGGTGCATGCCTTTAATCCCAGCACTCCATAGGCAGAGGCAGGCAGATCTCTGAGTTTGAGGCCACCTTGGTCTAAAGAGTGAGTTGTAGAACAGCCAGAGCTACACAGAGAAACCCTATCTCAAAAAAGGGATGGTGAGAAGTATAACTTTTTTGTATTTCCTTGATTTAATATTTTTACTTTTTTGAGAACTTCATGCATTCCCCCTAACTCCCCTAACTCCTCCTCTGTCCTTTCTCCCAAATTTCTTTCTAAAATTATTATTACTGGTATGTGCATGCATCTGTGTAAACTTGAGTCCATTCAGTTTTGCTTGTATGTACATGTGTCCAGGGCTAAGTACATGGGATTATGTGACCTATATGAAAGCTTGTTCCTTCAGTTTCCTTTCTTAACAGCCACTGACATCTATAGCTCTTCATCTGCGTTCGTTTTCTTGTCAGCTGGTGCTGTCATTGTGCTGGTCTTGTTCTGGCAGCCGTATTGTTGGGAGTTCATGGGTACATCTTCCTTGTCATATATAGAAAACATTAATAGATGGCACCCTGGTCTTCTGGCTCTTACAGTCTTTCTAACCCCACTTTCTTGACATTTCCTAAACTTTAGATGTAGAGGTTGCAGCAAGTGTTGCTCTCAGATGACACATGGTTATAGCTGGAGCTTTATTCTCAGTTCTGGTTCTAAGCATTTAACCTTAGAAAACCTGACTTGCTCTCTGGTTATGTGAACCAGGTACTGTCATTGGCTTAAACTTTATGGAATTTAGCAGCTGTTAAATTCACATCCCTCCTATATTTGGAGCTGCTTTTGTTATGGCTTGTTTGTTTCTGTGTGTGGCATTTTAAACATTGTTACCAAGGCCACTGCATCCTGACAGTGGTGTTTGAAAGAGGGCTGACCAAACAAAAAGTCTTGTGAAGATCGGTGGGAGTCCAGGACAGCCAAGGACACACACACACACACACACACACACACACACACACACACACACACA